CCCGCCACCGCCGAGTTCCGCCCGAGAAGGTTGCCGCGGTGGTTTTAGTGGGTGCGAGTCCCACACTACCTCGGGGTCCCACCCCAGGACTCCAGGGTGTGCATAAGGCATTTCCCCCGCGTAAAAAAAAAAAAAAAATGGTACACGGCGTACACGTCTAGGTCAATAAACTGTGTGACGCAACGTCAGTAGTGCGTTGGACCGACGGAGAGCACCGATACCGCGGCTGGCTCTATCGATCTCGCTCTCTCCCTTTCACCCGCTCCGACCATCTTCGGCCTTGTTCGGTACACGTCGACACCGACGGAGAGCACCGATACCGTAACTCGCTCTACCGCTCTCGTTTATTTATGATGTTCATATTCCCCATATAAATATGATATTTAACTAATTTTTTAAGCGCCATGTTCCTTTTAAAGATTTACCTCTCCAGTATAAATCCCTAAGACCCTTATTTATTATTCATTTCACAAAATAATTGCAAATATGAAACTTTTTTACCTCTTCTTGAACATTCTAATTTCATAGCCCTAAACTGGGCACCTGAAAGTATTTCATTGAATTTGTGTAAATGATTTTACTACTTCCTAAAAGATTCCGTGTGATATTTGATGGCATAAAAAACAATTTGCCGATACAGGGTTTCGATTTATTTACGAAACTAATCTGACCAGTTGTTGCATTCTTTGACACTAATTTTCAAGAATATAAAACTTCTGTATTTCACTTAATTTGAGAGACACGTAGCTGAATATTAACATACGTTCATTATTTAATTACTCGCAATAAATAAAATTTTTGGAAGTAAATAACGTGTAAGTAAATTCATATGTAAAACTTTACCAATTGCCAGAAAGTAATTGTTCGTGCGTATTAAAATTCTTACAATAGGCAGTAAAACTATTCACACTCCCATATAAATTATAAATATGTAGATGTTAATGAAAGCGGTGTATATATTCTCCCACATGTGGATTTGGTAAACTATTTATGAAACTACATCTATTCTGAATTTATCAGTTACAAATATACAAATGTAAGGCAAGATATAAAAACGAATAAAACAAGAACATGTAAAAAGTAACATTAATAAAAATGTCCATTAACGATGCATTTAGAATAAATTATCTTGTAGTTAAGTGAAAAAATATATACTTTTCCGTTTCATGTTTCATGACTGTCATATTTATCCTTTAACCTTAAACTGAAGCATCGGATATTTTTATTCTCGTGAAATCATATAGATACACATAATATGAATGGAATATATAACACTTCATTTGTGTTAATAATACTCAGAATTCATGCTTTATCGGTAACGTCGGATATTGACACTAAAATGGAAACAGGGCTACGTAGCCCTATGAACGTGGGACAGAAAAAAGCATTGGATGATAGGTCTATTCTATACCTAGTCGGTGCCCTTACCCTCCTTTCCTATTAGATGTGTCGTTCGATTCAAACTTCGCGCCTCTGGAGCTTATGACATATATCGGTACGTGGCATGAGCGAGGATCGCAACAGAGGTTAATAGCCTCAGTGAAGTTAGCCGGACAACTTTGACTTTTTAACGTTTCATTATACCCAGGCAAACCAGTGGACCCGATGCGACCACTGCACTTGCATTAAGTATGTATAAACATACGTGTGGTTTGAATCGTGCTAATTTTGATCACATTAAAAAGTTTTTAATATTACGATGTCATTATCAATTACAGTGTCACCAAAAGTTAGCATGTGTTTCGTTTAACAGTATAATAATTTTCTTCGTCTTTATTCTAACCGTAAATTATGTTTACAATCTTCCATTTTTTTAGGTTATAAACGTGCATATTTAAATAGGAAGAACTTTTTAAATTGATTCTAAGAGCATTTTTAAATATTTTGCTCAAATGATTCGCAGTTTAAAGTATAGCTGTGAAAACAATAATTTACCCTTGTTTCATTTAATAAGACTCCAATTTGGTAAGATATATCATTTATTAAATAAATGCGGATGTTCGTGCATTTTTTATAGAATTTTGTAACCTGGACATTGCAGTACATTAAATATTTCAATAAGGTTTCGTACTGTTTATACGTTATTATTTAATATAACTAGTCCCTAGTACAGAAAATAAATTGTCGTCTTATTTACATTTTTTTATAAATTCATAACTCATCCGTGAATTACGTAAACATTAATAAATAAATAATATACATTAATAATAATATAATCCATTAAGAAATGTTTATGCAACACTATATTAGGTTCATTTATATGAAATATAAGTGATTGGAAATCTCAGTTTCGTAATATAGTATGCAATGCAAGTTTCACAGCATTTAACTATAATGTCACACATTAATAAACAAAAGATTTCCTATTATGTATTTCAAAAAAATTGAAAATCATTGTTAACCCTAGAGTTAACTTTTTCGGTTTCAGAAGTTTTGACCAGTTGTTTCACCAGTTATTTACATGATTTAGAAATTTTCATTAAAAATTTATGTTGAACAATAGTATCAGCAAGACAATAACAAAAGGAACATATATTGTTTGAAATATATCACATTAATGTGAATTATATTTAACTTTAGTTTTCAAAGCTCAAAACTAAACAACTATAAAATTATAAATTTACTCAGAAAAATATAGAAATTATATGTGTGGTATTTGATTATGAGGCATTATATTATAAATAACATTTCATATGCATAGATTAAATGAAATAAATTTTATATAAAAGATGACGCTATGCAAAGTGTGTAATGCTATTGGGACTGTTTCTTTGTTTCTACTTTGTCGATAGTAAAAAAATGGTGCAGAAAAAACAATTAACAGAGTCTACTTTCAATATTTTTTTTAATAATGCTTTTTATTTTTCCTAGATTCTTTAACCATTCTGCATGTAAATGTATTGTAGTAAGAAACATGTTTAGAAAATTAAAATTCGAGATATTTAAAATAAAAAATAAATATGTAGCCAAGAAAATGCATTTTGTATAATAATGGAATGTTGAACAAGAATGTACTAAAATAGTACACTGTAATAGTTTTACATACAAAATGTTCAAAGGAATCAAGTTATATAACAAATACATCTTTCTTATTTTAAAACAATAATGCCCATACACTTATGACATATATTTAAAAAGAAATTAGGTTATCTGGTTCAATGTGTCCTTTTACTGTACTTTTTCTTGCCAATAAAGAAAGAAAAGAGTATCAATAGTTGCAATTGTGTAACTCATCCTGTTTTACATATATATTACTCTCAAAATTTTTTCATTATGTTCATAAATGCTTGCTTATATTCATTAATTTAAAGATGCAAAATTTAATAGGTATGTTACATTTTTTATCTTCAGATAATATTTTTTGTAAAAACATGTCTGTTGAAACCAGTGAAAATATCCAAAACACGAATGATGTTCAAAGTAATAAAAGACATGTAACTGATGAGGACGATGAAATTGCACTGAAAGTGCCAAAGGTAGAGGAAGAAGAAATTACAAAAGTGGAGAGACCTAAAACAAGCAAATATGTATTAATGATGGGTTATCTTGGGAGAGATTATTTTGGAATGCAAAGGAATCGTGGTCAGAAAACGATAGAAGAGGATTTACTGACTGCTTTATTTAAATCTGAATTAATTACAAAGACACAATTTGAAGATATTCGGGAAATTAAATTTCAGAGAGCTGCGAGGACAGATAAATCTGTGTCAGCAGTTAGACAAATTGTTTCTTTGAAGCTACGTGAGTAGAATATTACTCCTTGTATTTTATATAATGTTTAATGTTTCAGTGTTATTCTTATATATAAGACTCATCGATTAGAATAATGTTCTACTATCAAAGATAGACAAATAACATATGATTATAATATCTAGGCATGATAAAAATTATTTGTTTCATACACTCGAATAATCTTTTTCAGCAAGACATGTAAATAGAGAGATAATAAATGAACAGCTTCCCAAGGAAATTAGGATATTTGGTGTAAAAAAAGTGACAAAAAATTTTAATAGCAAAATTCAGTGTGATGCAAGAACATATAGATATGTTATTCCCACATTTGCATTGGCTCCAGAAGATCCACAATTTTTAGAAACAAAAGAAGAAATAGACCCAGATAAACGTCTTGAACAGCTTTCTATGATAGATGGCAAACCATATACTGAATATCGGTTAACCAGTGATATGCTTGATAAACTTAATGAAACTCTAAAATTATTAGAAGGCACACATAATTTCCATAATTTTACAGGAAAAATGTACGTTATTTTAATTGCTAAAATATTATTGTACTATACAGACAAATTATACGTTTTTGTATAAATTTTGCAGAAGACCAGAAGATCCAAGCGCTTACCGATATATTATGTATTTTCGTTGTATCGAAACATTTGTTGCAAATGACATAGAATTTGCAGTATTGGAAATTAAAGGACAAAGTTTCATGTTACATCAGATTAGAAAAATGGTATCAATGGTTGTGGGAATATCTAGAAACATAATTAAAAATGACACTATTAAAGATGCATTTGCATTAGAAAAAATTGATATTCCTATTGCACCAGGCCTTGGATTAAGTTTACATCATGTAAGTTATCTGAAATTTAAATAAATGCTAAAAACATAATAACATTTGAAGTTTATATTTTTCTAGGTACATTATAAGTATTATAACAGAAAGTATGGAAATGATGGAATTCATGAAATATTAGATTGGCAAGAATGCGACCAAGAAGTGGAAAAATTTTATAAGGATTACATATTGAAGAGTATAGTAGATACAGAAGCAACAGAAAAAATGTATCCTTTTTTTATATAATTACTTATTTATGTAATAACTCATACAAAGTATTTATCTTAACCAACATAAAATAGAACATTGCACTGGTTGACATGTTTTCTTACACCGCTGAGGTTTGCATACAAAGTTACTGTAGCAGAATAATATGAATATACTAAAATTATGCTGTATTTATATGTTAAACATGTATAAAATATACTTTGTAATAATTACAATTATGTCATTTTTACGCACCATGTTTTTCACTAATTTATATTTTAGTCATATTTCACCTTCAACATGTAATTAAGTTATCTTTGTTCATTTAATAATTACCAAAGTCGATTATTCATTATTTTTGTACTTTATCTGGTAAATGGTATGTTATATCAATTGTATAGTATTTACATTTATCTTTTTCGCGTAATCTTCAAATGAGAATACATATATGTTTCATATGTCTGTTGCGTATTTTCCCTTCTGCACTCATACAAGAAATGTGACTAGCTAGAACTCACGTTTGTTCAAGACGGGTAATTCCAGATTGACTCAAGTTCAGTGAACGATCGGCAGGTACCGAGTAAAGAGGTGATTCGTGATTTTTAACAGTTTGTTTCACCAGTATGAAGAACACTGTAATTACCATTATTTTAACAATTAGCTGTAGTAAGTATACATATTTGTAGTACGTGATTGCATAATCTATTGAATTGATTTATATTGAAAATTACAGAAAAAATTAAAAGTACGAATTTTAAATATTTTAAAGATTATTTGTTCTAATAACGAGTTTTGAAATTTCCATGTTTATTTAGTAGACTTTCAATAAATGAATATAAAGAATTATCTTCAATGCAACAAAGAATTATATTTTATTTTATTTGTATATAGTGAATTTAAAAAATTTCCACTAATATATAATCAAAATTTTTTTATTAATTTGTATGTTTTAATCAGAAAAACCTTTAAAAGCATGCTTTAATAATTGCAATACTGTAAGCTAGATAAAAAAACCATTATACAGATTTCAAAACCAGTTTATTAATGACCTTGAACTTTGGAGAACTGATGCATTCATATGTCACTAACAAAAATTCATGTTAATATATATAGAAAATCGCGAAATGCAATTACATTATTTCTTAAACAGTTTATTATAAATTATTGAGACGCAAAATCGTAATGTATAATAAGGTGTAAGAACATATATAGATATTAATTGTATGGTATAAAGAGTTATAGAATTTACAACATATTGTTAATGTTCAAAAATAAAAAATATATCTTTATTTCCTTTACAGGTATATTAGAATACGGATATGGTCAGAGGAGTAGATGTGGGTGAGTTTAAAAACTTCTATATGACTCATTTACCTTATTTATAATGAATTTGATAATCATTCAAATAACAAAGTCGTAATTATTCTTTCTCTAAACAGCTTGGAAAGATTTCAATGTAAGGATGGAGAATGCATACCAAGTGTATTGTTATGTGATGGGCGACCAGATTGTAAAGATCAATCTGATGAAACATATGCAGAATGCAGCAAACCAGAAATTACATGTCCTAGCTATGCATTTCGATGTGCATATGGTGCATGTGTAGATGGAGATTCAGCTTGTAATGGTGTGAAAAATTGTGTTGATAATAGCGATGAAACATTGTCTAGATGTAATACTTCATATAATGCATCCACAAAGTGCTCAACAAGTCAGTTTAAATGTAATAACGGGCAATGCATTTCTGCAAGCAATGTGTGCGATGGTACTTCTAATTGCACTGATAATTCCGACGAAACATTCATTCAGTGTGGAGCAATTCCGTAAGTTACAAAGTATAAAAAAAGTATAAAAAAATACTGGGTTATATTTTGCAGTACATGTAACAGCATAGTAATTTTTTTGACTGTATAAAAAATATATACATATTTTATGTACAAATTATATATTATTTATGATATTATTATTATTTTAATAATTTACTATCGTTAATACATATTTTTATGGCATTGAATTTATTAATCGTATATATTTTTTCAATAATTTTTATAGTTGCGAACAATTATTTTTTCGTTGTCGTTATGGCGCTTGCATTGATGGTGATTTAAAGTGTAACGGAGTCACAAATTGTGTAGATGGTTCAGATGAAGATCCAAGATTATGTAAAGCACCAGTTACTTCAACAGAACGTCCACAGCCTGTGACACCTCCGATAACACCCTCGTGGACACTCAAACCAAGAATATTTTGTAGTGTACCGCCACAACCACAAAATGGTTTCTGGAAGTTACATAAATCACAATGTGCCACTGGAGAGAATTGCGATACTGAACATGATGTTAAATTTGAACCAGGAGCATATTTAATTTACAGCTGTAATCCTGGTTACAAAATCAGGGGCTCTTCTGATGTTGTTTGCGGGTTAGGGGGTAAATGGTTAAATATTCCTGCATGTGTAGGTAAGCAAATATCAGAACACAATATATTAATACATAGTTGTACAAATAAATCAAAATATTATGAGTGACTTTCTGTACTTCAGAAATACGATGCAAAAATGTAAATTCAGCATCAATAAGGGCAGATTGTTCATATGCCGGGCATAATTACATATCATGTGAATCACCTAAGCCTGGTACAGTCGCAACATTATCATGTCGCAATAGTTACCGCCGCGATACAACATTCCTATCGCCTACATCAGTTAGATGTAATGAAAACGGTCAATGGGATCCGGAGCCAATGAGATGCATTCCAGGTCCGCAACTAATAAGTGTTTACATTAATGACACTTCTATTTTATTGGAAATTAATGTAAAAGAGTATAATTCTACGCTGGTAGAAATATCAGAAGATAAAATCATTATACATAAAAATAAGGTCATAGAAATTAAACCAGATTTAAAGAAATTAGACCTGGCTTAAATAAAATATTATTACAAAATATTAAGATATATGAATCTAAACTTAAAAATATATTACAAATGATATTTGTATCTATAAAAATGATATATTTTGTCTATATGTTGAGATAATTCACATACATTACATATTACAGTACTGCTCAGAGAAGTTTAAATGAGAATTGTAGTGCATAGAAGAATAATAAATGTGTATTATGAGTTTTTATTTATTTTCACATACTATTCACATACTAGTTCGAAATTATATTTACACGTGTAATAAATATATAGTGCATTTATTGATCTTCAGATTTATTACCCATTCCTGCAGAATATTTCTAATTATAAAAATGAATGTGAATTATCTCTTGCGGATTACTGTTTCACTTCTACTGCCTTGTACATTACTATTGAAAATAATATTTTGATTCTCTGTTATAATTGCTTTTAACTTAGTAAACACATATCAACTTAATACAAAAATTAAAAGTGTTACTCACTATTTCGTATTATTAACATTGTAATTATTATTTATTATATGTATTTTATTAGTCACGTAATACTTATATAATTGAGTGTAGTAGTATAGTAATGTAAAAAATACATGTTTTAGTGTGCGGTGTTACTCCGGTAAATACCAAACCACTCATTGTAAACGGAACTCAAGCTAATATTGCTGAATTTCCATGGCATGCTACACTGTATAGAGCAGAAAGATTAGACGCGCCTAAGGAATTTACGTGTGGTGCATCTATTATACACGAGAAACTTTTAGTTACTGCAGCGCATTGTGTTTATAATGACAATACCAGGAGTGTAGATGATCCCTCAAAATATTATATAGCAACGGGCAACATTTATAGAGATTACGATTCTCCTTTCCACAATAATGTAATTGTGAAGAAAGCACGGGTACGTAAATCTAAATTATGTTATTTGTTTAAAAATGATGTCTAATATTCTATTAATGTATTTCAGGTAAAGAGTATATACGTTGCTTGTAGCTACACTGGATTGGTTGGATCTTATGTTGCAGATATAGCCATATTAGAGATCACAGAAGCATTTGTATTTTCGTCGCTATTATTACCAATTTGCTTGGACTTTTCTAATAACATGTTGTTAGAAGCTGGAATGTTCGGTAAAGTTGCCGGATTTGGTAGAACTTCTACAGGTCCAACTAGTTACATATTGCAAACAATTACATTGCCGTATGTTTCGCACAGAAAATGCAAAGAAGTAAGCAATGCTTTGCAAACAGAAAACTTTATTACAATTGATAAGTTTTGTGCGGGTTACACGAATGGTTAGTAAATTTAATAACCATAATACATCTGTTGTGGTACTTGAAAGTTAACTAAAAGTATGAAAATTACAGGATCGTCAGTTTGCGATGGCGATAGTGGCGGTGGTTTAGTTTTTCAAAGAGAATATCTGTGGTATTTGAAAGGTATTGTTAGCGTTAGTCTTGGTACACAAGTAGTAGGAGGAAGTAGACAATGTGACAGTACCACGTACTCTTTATATACTGCCATTTCCACTCATATTTCATGGATACAAAATTTTCTCCTTGCCTTGGACATTAAAAGACTACTACCTACTTGTTAATGAGATTAAGATTAAAAATTTAGTTTATAATTTTTAACATTTATTCTTACAAAACGTTGCAAGAATATATAAACTCTATATAGAATAAATATCATACAGTGTACTCATACAATCATATTGCATATATTACATTTGTAATGTCGTACATTATTTTGTATAATAAAGGTATAAATTACATATACTGTATATGCAGAGTGACCAGTTGAATTTGGGGATGTACACTGCAAATGCGGATTCTACACACTAAAATAAGAAAAAAATATTCATACAAACATATACCCCATATGACCTTGTTTTCGACTTACAGTTTGTTTTGTGTTGTAATAGCTAGTTATCTACCTTCAGAGAAACTGCTTGAAGTGGATTTATTTTCTTATTTTTTATGTATCTTATACACGGAAAAGTTTGTTCCAACGCGAAACAATTCTACTTAACAATTATATTAATATTTTTGTGTGTAGAATCCACATCTGCTATACTTCTCTTGTGCAACTGGACACCCTGTATATTTGGAGTATTATGTACATATATGATATACACTAATATACAGAATACTCAAAATTACAAAACTATTCAAAAATAAATTATGATAGTAAGAAGCAGGAGTAAAATGAAATAATACGTGAACACATAAATAGATTTTAAAATACGAATTGAATCTAAGTAAATTGACACACTTTAAAAACTTATAGGTTATTTACGTATGTATGTATGTATGTATCTATGTATGTATGTATGTATGTATGTATATATATATGTATACATTTAGAAAATCGCAATCATTGCATTTACATGATAAGTACATGACATTCCTTTATTCCAAGTAGTGGTTGAACACCAAATAATGTCTCAAACTATACTCAGTGTGTACAAATAAAAGAAAGCAGTATGCATTAAGTATGTTTAAATATCACAGAGCCAGTATATCCATTTGTAAAGACAACCTTTGTACAAAAAAGATATTTTGTTAATTTACTAAGATAAACGTTTTACATACATTCAGGTTCAGTTAAGGTCTTCTTCTTTTTAATAGTTTGCGATGATGTTTTCAATGAAGAGGTATTGGATGCAACAACAGTATCTATAAGAAAAAAACATTGCACATTGTATTGTAATGAGAGTTACATATTATATTCATAACCTCATACACATCTTACTTCCAACACGTAATTTTTTAAAATCATCTTTAAGATCATCAATATTGGACCTTAATGTTGTACTTGGTATTTCAGGCAAAACCGATTCATCAAGTTTCATTAATTCTTCTAGTTCTTGTTCCAAGTCAATATTCGAATCATCACTTTCAAAGGTTTCTGATAAAATAGATTGTACTTCTTTTTGTTCGTCTAAAGCCTAAAATGTACCATTAATATAGTTAAACATTTCTGATAAAAAAGAAGGATAGTATTGAATCAGTGCTGTCCAGTGTCAAGGCCGTTCCACACGCCTGCTTCCCTTTCCAAACAACAGACGTTACGATTTCTTATACAGGAAACAATTCTATTAGTAAATGTTCTTAGCCGCGTGTCTCCACTATGGAAACAGTGGACAATGGTGAGAGAAAGCTCTTGCCTCCCAGGAAGCAACTTAAACAGCACTGTATTAAATTATCAACATTTAACATTTCACTCACTTCTGATAAATCGTCCATAACATCTCTAACATTACTTTCCGACAGACCACTTTCACTCAATTTTTTTAATACATCAGATCCTGTTTTGTAAGCCAATAGTACAGCTGTATTCGTATGAGTATCTTGAATTCTTGATATAAGACCGCGGATGTTTTCGAGAGTTCGAGATCGTTTTTCTATATTATTTTCTAGCTCCATTTTCTTTCTTAAGTGAGTCTTTGCTACTTGGCGTAAACCATTAGCTAAATAACATTTAACCTGATTTATAATATCAATTTTTAGTTCTTCCATAAATTGTATTTCTTTTACAAGTTCATTCTCTTGCTTTATTAATTTGTACAGTGCTTCTTCAATTTCTGTTATATTATCCGATGAATGAACCGTTATTTTGATCAGTAACTCATGCTCATCAGCATTATTTGTAAAGGCCACTTTTTTTTCACGTCTCAACCAAATTAAGATTAACATTATAGTATTATCTGATATATTTTTGTTTATTTTAGATTTACAACTGTTTACTATCTCAGAAAATGGTACAAGAATATTTTCCTTTTTATCTTCTAAAATTGAGAAGACTCTTTCTCCTAAATTTTTAAGGATTTTCAAATGTATATATTTAGTTTCCTTATTAATTTCTTCGCTTACAATATAACTTTTGACCTTAGAAAATGACCATGTAAGAGGTCTTTTCACAAATATGTCAACTGACCATGCAGCCCATGAATCACAAGGTTCTTTTAAAAATTCAGCCTCTGGAATAATTTCATTATTCCTGAAAAATAACACACAGATTAATAACGATGAGTAAATATTTCCTTCTTCAACAATATATGTCTTTTGTTAACAGTAATAGAACTAATATTACCGCAGAAGCTCTTCAACAACAGTTATTAAACAAAGTGGTGTGCATCCTTTTCTTTTAAACACAACATGCAAGTCTGCGATAGAAAAATTACATTGCATTGTATATTTCAACCATTCGTATATTAAATTTTGCCAAAACTTATATTTAGATGACCAATCCAGAGGATTTGTCAATTTACTACGAAAAGGCGAAAATAATGCATTCATTCTGTCTTCTTCATTCCAACATTTTGGCATTATTTGCGGCGGTAATGGCAAATTATTATCCATGTCTTTCGTATCTACGGACATTTTTCAGCTGAAAAAATTCATTACTTCAGGTAGGTTATATTTTTATCTAATATTGTGACAATTGTTTTAAAATCATATTTACTTTTTCCAGTAGTTAATATGAAAAGAATGTTTATTGAATATGTTAAACATTGACAAGCTTTGATGAAAAAATTCACATGGTAAATTAGTTTACTGAAACGTAACATAGATGCACATAGAATCACATACAGAATTGTCATAAAAAAGAACAACACAACTAACGTGACCAGGTGAGGGATTTTGAGGGAAAATGGCGGACTATACTCCCAGTCAGCCAGATCTGTTCTAAGCAAATATCACTAGATTCTGCTGTAGACATGATGTGCAGATTTGCTGCAAATTTGCTAGAGGGTCTGCTACAGCAGTATTGACAGTAAACTAGCAGCAAAAATATAACAGGCCTAGTGTCATGATGTGACGTCAGAAATTAAAGAGACCTGCTAATATTCTGACTGCAGCTTCACCTCACAAATGTATTAGAACTGCGCAACTTACTTTATTATAAATTAAATCGATTACACTTCATCTAAATGCATCTGCAATCGATATTTAAGTACTTATATGATTATTTAATATTAAATCACAAAATTAAATGTGTATGTTGTTTCGTTATTCGTGAATTCGGCCGGTCGGGCGGCCGTTACACGGCACGTACAAAGCTTCCCCTCCCGGCCCCATACCTTCGTTCGCGTCATCGCGAGTTTTCAAACCGTATTTCTGGGCGCCAGGCACTCTCCTGACTGCCGACCGATATTTCCCAAATACCGGACCAAAACCGGATTCCCCTGATGAGGCCGAAGTCCACCGGCCGGCCGAGAAGAAAAGAAACCGCCGCTAGATAGCTCGAAATTCGCCCAGAGTCCGCAGATATCGAAAAGAGAGACGCTCCCTGCGACAGGAGATTCCGGTTAAACGACACAAACAAAGAAGGAAAAGTAATAGATTAATGCTGCTAGACCGGTTAACAGAATAAAATAACAACGTTTAATGTATAATTCTCGCGCGGGCCTCGGTTGAAACCGCGTTACAACAGGTGGTAGATTATAATAAAATAACTTCTATCTACATGACAATAACCAGTATTTATTTAGAAGCACTTTAAAAATAGTTTAAAAAATTGTTATTCTAACATATGTACAAAAATAATTTTTAAGCAGTTTTCATCGCATCGTTTCTCTAGCTACATATCTTTTCCTTTACGGGATTGTTTGTAATTGTCTACGTTCAATGAATATATGGAGTTTAGTTTTAAAAGCATGTATCTTCAATAATTGTGGGTCCACAGTCTACTTTCTTATTTCGCTGCTTCTCCTTCCACTAGTATTTTTCGATATTAAATACATACATGATCTTTTTATATTATGAATACCAATCGTTATAATTATTTGGTGGATTGCAGTAAACGTGACTGCTTGACATGCACAGTCCAGACATACACAGCAAGTGACACCTGTCATCAACGACGATAGTGATGAAGACTAAAGTCACCAGACATGATATTTGTCTGGTATGCGTAAAGGAAAAGATACGTAGCTAGTCATATAAAATATAACAAACATAACAATGATAACAATAAACAAAAAGAATTTCCTTAAACGTATAAAACAGGAGAACGTGGCTTAATCTAGAGGTGTATAGACTAAAGACTCAAATATCGAGTACGCGTAGTCTGGTCCGTCTTATTATATTGCACTTATTGCGGTTAAGAATAATGAGGTACAAAAGTGTTTGAAACTTAATCTATGGCTTAAAAGTTAGTACAGAATGCGGCAGAAAAAAACTATACTATACAATTAACTAAGAGAAAAGAAGAGGTGAGAAAAAAAAGAA